TGTGTGTGTGTGTGTGTGTGTGTGTGTGTGTGTGTGTGTGTGTGTGTGTGAATGCAGTGCCCCTGTGGGTGGGGCCAGCATGCCCGTTCACACCTCCTGACTCGGCGCTGCGGGGGTTGCGCTGGCGAGAAACTGCTGACTTGACTGCTGGCTGCCAGGGGGCTGCGCAGACGGGGCTCTACTCTGCTCCTGCAAAGCCGTGTCTACGATGCTCTTTGCCGGTAAAGACGTTGCTGCAGGAGGGCTTGGCTGCAGCTGCGCAGGCGCACCTTGCCGGCCAGCATCCGTGGGCAGGACGGAGGGCGCAGGTGTGGGCGTGACCATCTGCAAACATGGGAGACAGACCCATGGGCGTAAGAGGCGCAGCTGACTGCTGGCATGTGGTGGCATCCAGGGAACGCAAATGATCAGGCTGCGAGGGAAAAGCAGAGCCCTGGATATCTGCCATCATGTCTGCCGTAAATCAAACGCTGTGGTTTAGACATTACCCTGCGAGAATCGATGAGTCCGTGCGGAGATATTTACCTCTGGGAGGTTCACAAACAGACAGAGCGGGATCTCAGGCAATGGGGAGTTACATTGGGTATGAGAGGAAGGGGTAGACTGGTGGAGCCTATTAACGGCAGTTCCATGTTCATGCCCAACTGCTAGGGTACCTGGCCAGGCACGGCTATAGCAAGTAGAGGGACAGGCTCAACGGCACCCCCTGCTGGGAGGCTGGGGAACCGCAGGAGCAAAGCAAGGGAGATGGGGGGGGCAGGAGGAGATGACCTGTTCTGAGTCAATATACGAAAGAGGGGGCGGGCGGGGGGGGGGCAGGTGCCGGGATTTGGAAAGCTGGACTGAGGATGATCAGGAGGAAGAGTCACATCCAGCAAAAGAAGCCCCTGCTGGATTAAATGGGATATCTGGAAGGGAACTGGAATGGCAAACACCGAAAGATCAAACAGACTTGGATACTACAAGCCTGTGGAGGATAATCACTTGAACTCTGGCCCATGCAGAGGAACCAGCACTGATCCCATTATACCGGCCAGGATTGGTGCCATCTGCACAGACTCCCAGCCATCTAATCAAGCACAACCACACTTTTGTCAGGGCCATAAATAGACAAAACATGTCTGGACACCTCAATCGGTTTATCTTGTCATGCAAATCATTTCACACTAAGGATTCTGCGTGTCGGCAGGCTGGGGACGGACGCCGGGGCATGGCTACCTGTGTGAGCTGAGTCGCCGGCATGGCTACCTGAGTGAGCTGAGTCGCCGGCATGGCTACCTGTGTGAGCTGAGTCGCCGGCATGGCTACCTGAGTGAGCTGAGTCGCCGGCATGGCTACCTGTGTGAGCTGAGTCGCCGGCATGGCTACCTG